CACCCCTAAAGGGTATTAATGAATCAGTTGGGTTCTTTAAACAGCAATCGACAGTACTGTGATGCTCATCTGGAGCAAATTGGACTTGAACTAGGAGCTTCTGGCCCAAAGGTAGGGGAACTACCACTGTGCCACAAGGACCCTCGTTCCTCCATTCTAGATATTTTCTAATCACTCTGTTCGGAGATGATTGAACACACTATTGGAGAGAGTGGGATTTGAATGTAGGCCTCTGAACGTAGGCCTCCTGGATCAGAGGAAGGACATCACATCACCATTGAACCAGAAGCCCTTTACTTGGTTATAGCCCTACTTAAATTGTTGGAGCTCAGTAATTAGCATGTATAGTGTTGACTAAGTTTGCCATTTGTTTGAATTTTCACTGTGATCTCATTTGAGAGACTGAATTGTTTGCATGTTATGAGGACATGTTATTGAACTGCCTTGCTTTTAGTTGACTTTGGTATGGAACACTGACAGCTTCTCTTTCTAAGAGTGGTAAAGCAGATTATTTAAATGGAGATGGAGTGATTTAGGTGTCCTAATACAGGAATCTCAAAAAGTTAGTATTCACATACAGCAAATGATTAGGAAGGGCAAAAATATGTTGCTGTTTATTGGGAGGGAATTGGAGTAGAAAATAAGAGATGACTTTACAAGGTGTTGGTGAGACCACATCTGGAGTATAGTATACAGTCTTAGTCTCTTTATTTAATGAAAAACCTTTAGTGCATCAGATGCAAATGAGGGCATTCACTGCATTGATGCCCTTGCGTTGCATTATGAGGAAAAGTTGGCCTGTCTCCTCTGGAGTTTCGAAAAATGTCGGGTGATTTTACTGAAATGTGCAAGATTGTTAGGGGAGTCTTTGGAATGGTGGTCCTCGGAGCGGTGGAGGTATTCATTTGTACACTAACAATAGTCAACGAGTAAGCCCTTGAGTAACAGGGGAGTTGACAGTTTTGAGGTAGATGAGAAAGTGGAGGCCACAATCAGATTAGCCATGATGTCTCAGAATGGTGGAGCAGGCTTGAAGGAGCCGAATAGCCCAGTCCTTCTCCTTTATCAGTTTGTTTTTGTCAGCACTAAATATGTGAGCATTATTTTATACTTCACCGCGTTGGAACATACACAGTTCATTTTGATTCCCCCTGTACATTTGTACAACAGCATGCCATTATTATGACTCGGGGTGACTGTTAGCTGAGTTTGCTGGACAGCTGGTATGCAGTACAGAGTGATGTCAACAGTATTCTGTTCCTGCATCAGCAGAGGTTATCATGAAGGACTCTCTTTCTCAACCTCTCCTCTCACCTGATGTGGTGACCTCCAGGTTAAACTAGCACCAGTTGCCTCTCCCTAATGAGAGAGCAGCCCTATGGTCCTCTGGGACTATGGCAACTTTGTGACTTGATAACTTCTGGATGTTTGATTTGTTTACTTTGGGGTTTTTTTTGTTTCTTGAAGAATCTGCTGAAGACTGGCGAGAGTAGCTGGTCACTCGCCGAACTCATCCATGCTGTCGTTCTCCTCACGCATTACCATTCCCTGGCATCCTTCGTTCTAGGCTGTGGGATCAGGCCTGAGTTGGACCAGGACGGTGGCTTCACCTTCAGATCTCCCTCTCCACAAAGTTGTGACTCTGACAGTGCTAGTAACAGTGGGTCAGAAGAGACTGTTAATGGTGGTGCGGTAAGTACAGAGGTTTTCTTCTTTTAATGTGTAGTTTATGAATAGCTATACAGCAAGCAATGCATTAACAATACTTATGATGTTAGTTGGCAAGGATAAATCAAAACACATCTAAATGATTTCTTAATAACAACAGGCTTTTCTGCAGATTGTGAATTATTCCACTGAGCTTCGGTCTGTTGCGTATGTGCATTGGATGTATTCTGTAGTCATTTTGTTAGTTTTTTAATTTAAAAATTAATCTTGTGAATGAGAAGTTTTATTTCTGTTGATCTATTTATTTATTTGTGTATTGCTTCGAACTGTTGTGTGGAATAATTGCAGCAATCCTGTTTCTGTTCTGGCATTTCTTCATTAAGAATCAGGGGGTGAATTTACAGCAAATAGTACCTGAACTTATTTTTGTAATGGGCTTTCATCTCACATAAACATTTTTCTGAATGTGTTTCAGAGTAGAGATGATTTACACGAGCTGGAGGTTCTAATAGAGAAAATGAAACTGCTGCAGGAAGGCAGACAGGATGAGGAAGCGAGCCAGGAGGAGATGGCAACGCGATTTGAAAAGGAGAAGAGGGAAAGTTTGCTGGTTGCACCTACAGGTTAATCACCCAGCTTGCTGCTCTGATTCAAACAAATGAGTGAGAATTTTCCTTGTATTCAGGAAAATAAAACACTTCTCCTTTCCCAGCAGATGATAATGAATCGCTCTCTCTGACCAATTTATCATGCTTTGTTGAAGATGCAGATTTTGGGTACAAGGATTTTAGCAGGCGTGGGGAGCAGACTCCTCCAACGTTCCGGGCTCAGGTAATTCAATGTTCTGTCAGAAACGATGAACTCTGAGAGGATTCTGAACTGCAGAGACAAAAGGTCCTAAATGTTGGTTAGTTAGCACTAAAGGTTGTGTTTTCTTCACTTGTTGAATTGGTAGAGCAAGCATGATGAAGCCATGTATAGAAATGGTTCTAGGGTCTGAAATGAGTTGTGTGCAAATCAGATTTCAGTTTTATGCTAATTGGATGAGATAGGAATTTTACACAGAGTAACTCCCCTGCTGCCTGTCCATCATTGACAAGGTACAATCAAGAGTGTGATGGAATACTCCCATTGCCTGGATGGATATAGCTCTAACAACACTCAAAGCTTGATATCATCCAGGAAAAAGAAGCTGCTTGATTGGCACCACATCCATGACCTTCACCGCTCACTCTCTCCATCACTAATGTTCAGTGGCAGCAGTGTGTAATGTGCCAAATGCACTGCAGTAACTTGTCAAAGCTCTCTTGATGGAATCCTCCAAACCCATGACCTCTACGAGCTAGAAGGACAAGGCAACATATACATGGGAACTCCAGCAGCTGTAAGTTGCCCTCCAAACCACGCACCATCCAGACTTGGAAACAGTAGCAGCTTAGGAACAGATCCCTGTTCCTTCACCATCGCTGGGTCAGAACCCTGGAACTCTCAGCGCTGTGGATGTCCCTACACCCCAAGGACTGCGGCAGTTCACCACCACCGCCTTCTCCAGGGCGACTAGGGATGGGCAATAAAGGCTGGCTGCATCCTGTAACTAAATCATCTTTTTAATAAAAAGACCAAAATTAACTTCTCTAGACTCAACAAATTAACTAGTGTTTGTTTTAGTTCCTGCTCCCTGTCCAGAGGAAGTTCTGTCTTGTGTTGATTTTTGTTCTCTCCTCCACACTCTCTCTATCACGAGCAGTATCCCCAGGGGATGAGTGGGGGTTGGGGTCAGCTAAAAAATATTATGTGTTGGTTATAAAAGTATCTCTGGGATCTTTGAGACTCTTAATTATTTTATTCGTTTTTTTTTGATCTGTATTCACATGTTATGTATATCCTGACAGGATTACTCCTGGGAAGATCATGGCTACTCTCTGATTAACCGGCTGTACCCTGAGGTCGGGCAGCTCTTGGATGAGAAGTTTCAAGTTGTGTACAATTTAACCTATAACACCATGGCCATGCACTGTGATGTCGACACCTCCATGTTGAGACGAGCCATTTGGAATTACATTCACTGTGTCTTTGGCATAAGGTATGTTGCTGTGTAATTTGAGAAGGATGTTCTAACTTGAAAGCTGTTCAATTTTCATACATTTTGTTTTTCTTTTTGGCTAAGATATGATGACTATGATTATGGAGAGGTCAACCAGCTTCTGGAGCGCAACTTGAAAATTTATATAAAAACTGTTGCCTGCTATCCCGAGAAAACGACCAAGAGAATGTATATAGGTTTCTGGAGACACTTCCGACATTCAGAAAAGGTTTGTTTCTCCCCATAAACAATGTTATCTTTTCACTTTTAGCTTGAATTCTGATTGCAAGGCTAGTTAGAGCATCAGTAGTTATGCAAAATTGTCCCATCGTCTGATGCTAAATCTAAGAGACTTAATGAAAAATGACATGGTTTAACTAAACCTGTTGTCAAGTTTTTTTAATCTACCCCTGTGCTTTACAGACGAGAGTTAGTGATGGACCTTATTACGGCCCCACAACTGGACTCTTTAAAATTATGAGAGCACCAGGGCTTAGTGCTTTTGATTGTCCCCTTCTACTTATTTTTATTTCCTTTTGTATATTTTTTTCTCTTTTTTTTGAAAGCACTGGAATGTTTCACCTGTATTTCTATCCTCTAATTCTTTTGCAAATGTCACAATAGAAGCCATTTTTTAAAAAACCATTTCTTTCCTTAATTTTAGGTGCATATAAACCTGCTCCTTCTCGAAGCCAGAATGCAAGCTGCACTCCTGTATGCATTGAGAGCTATCACACGCTACATGACATGATTCTGTCAACGCTTTCAGGACTGGCCCCATTCGAAAGCATCTATTGACCTGCTTCACCTGAAGTGAGCAGCAGTGTGCAATGAGCAGATTCCTGATATTTGACATTCATCTTTTTAGAGTAAAATTTCCAAATATGTTTTTTTGGGGGAAGAATTTCAGTATTCCTTTCGCTGTGTTCAATACATGGTGAATTATAGAAAAAGGTTTGAAACGTTGGGTTTAAACCAGATGCATATAAATGTTCTATTTGCACCTCATGGGTGTTAATGCTAGAGAAGTAAAAGCTTGAATGTATTGTATTGAATTTAAACTGTGAACCTGGCTGCGCTGTCACAGCACAGACTGTTGTATGTGTGTATGTTGACACTTCTCACTGATCTCGTATTTATTTATGTTGTCACAAATCGATTTTCTTTTCTGAGCTTTTGTTTTGCATAGTATCATCTGTCATACACTGGTAATGTACTGCAAGACCAAAGGTGACTTTAGACTAGAATGTTCACTTTCAGCATGTCTTCATTTTGGAATGGGCAGTTTACTTTTGGGAAAAAAAATGCCAAGTTTGAAATTCTCTTCAAGGAACCATTAGCCCAGTTTTAAGTCTTTTCCCTAAACTCTTAAATTGATGGCTGTTTTGCAGGATTATCGAAACAAAGCTGTTGTTTAGCCCAGGAAACACATTAAACCAGAACAAATTCGCAAAAGCGTATTTCTTGCAGCATTTAAATCTTTTCATTGCCCTGCTATTATTATGACAGTGTAGAAAGTGTCACCAGTGGTGACGCTTTTAACAGCAGCAGTGAAATTAGGTAAATATGATGCTGTTACCTTATCTCATTGCTTTTCTAACATTGCCCACGTGTTATCTACATGGTCACCCATGATAAACCTGTGGTATTGAAATACATTTTTCTTGGATTCAGTGTAGCAGGTTCCTTTTTAATCAATGATTATTAGTGCTCCAAAAAGTTGAGTTAAAAAAAGTCAATATTTTGGAAAATACACATCCTTGTAAAGAATTGTTGATGCCTTGATTTGCACATGCCTTCCTCTGTGAAACGTACTTTTTTGTTTCTGATTTTTGCACAAAGCATTTTCTAAGCATCTGGATGCATTTTGTTACTGCACTAAACAGTTTTTCTGCTGTTAATGTTTTTACACGTTGATAAACTAGAATTACCATTTTTTGTAAGGAGTAGAATTTATTTCTTGCGAGCCAACACCAATATAAGATGTGATACTTTTCTTGTAACAAAGTTCTGTACAGTAGTGGGAGAAAATCTTTATTCAGCATCACATCTGAGCAAAGTTTTCTTTTGCCCCTGAAATATACTGGCTTCTTTGCAGAGCAGATAGATCCAGCACTCAACTCTGTTTTGTTTGCTCAGTGAGTTCTTTCTTGGTCTTTTGAAATGAAGCTATAATCATTTGTAAATGCAATGCCTCTTACGTTATCCATAGCATTAGAAGATTCCCTGGCAGAGTGCAGTGGGAAGTGACTGATGCAGAGATCCAACATGTACGGTGAAGTTACCACCTGATGTCCTTAAGTGTGGAGTCACCTAGTTTACATGGAAATATTCTGCATCATTAACACTCGGCTTTATTTTATGTGGTGGGAAGTTATTTAAATAGTGGGGAAAAATGATGCCCGACAAACTGGATGGTTTGAAATATTGCGCCATGTTTCAAATATATACTTTGTTGGTGGGTATTTATACACCAGTGATTGAACACTAAAGTTATTAGCTCGCCCAGTAACTCATCGCAGTTGTGTGAATTTGTTCAAAGGTTTCCTACGAAGCCTCGGTCAGTTTCAGCAGCATCTTGGGAGGAAAGGGGAGGGTAGAATGAATAAAGATGTCTGGTTTGTACATGTTATGGCCTGTTAGCCAAACAGTCTGCCAGAATTCTGGGTTGGGATGGTCATGCACTCATTTTCTTAGCTGTAGGGTTAGGTTTTAAAAAAAACACAGCACAGTCCAAAGGATGAAAGTAATGACAGTATGTTCAGTGTAAAATGAACCATCTGTGCGATTTCAATAAACTTTTTTTGTAATCACAAGCTCAAATGAGCAAGTACCTATTTACCAACACGCTGGAATAGCTATTTAGATGTTCCTAGTCGCATGAAAGTCGTCGTACTTCTCTTTTTTAAAAAAAAATCCTTTTAAAGTCAACAAGGATTGATGCCTATTTGTGACATAGCATTGAATATGTTTTGTAGATAGTGTCTGAGAATGCACTGAGCTTTAATACACTCCCTTGTTCCTCAGATATTAGAACTCCTAAGTAAGATGCAGGTAAAATCAATTTTTGGAAGTGTCTACATTTGAGACATCCTCTGCACTGATGTACTGAACTATTTTAGTTTATAATGGACAGCGAAGTTAACTAATTTGATGCATTGCTGATTTCCATTACCTTGCTGTCCCTCAGAAACTCTACAGCATATTTAACTCTTCTTTCCCCTCGTTCAGTTTTATGCTGGTTTTGACCTCCAGTGGTATAACATTTAAATTTGCGAGCATTTGAAAATAGCTGGAAACTTGCAACAAATTTTACAGGCAATTCTCTTGGATTTGTGTCACTGAGGATGTTGCATTTGTGGAAGCTAAACATAGCTTGATTCTGTCCATGGGTGACTGACCTGGGTTATATTTTTCTGCTGGCTTCCAATGTACAAGCAGGACTTGGGAGAAAATGTAACAGACTTCAGAAACCTATGTTGAACTTACTAAGCTGTTTATTGACTGACTTAATTTCATCTTGGGAGTTTTAGAAGTTGTAAACCACTTTTGACTTGATTTCTGAAAATAAAGATACTTTTTACAAAATGTCTGTTTTTGTTGCACTGTGAATATTTTTGGATTACTGATTTGCATAAATAAGTTTGTATTTATGCATCCTCAAGATGTGCCAGATTTGTTTTGTGGCCAAGTGTTGTCACTTTTTTATGTCAACCAACATAGGCAGCCAGTTTCTACAAAAGCAAATCTCATTCAGAAGTCTCTGTCACCGTGTCCTGTCAGAATGATTTGTTTCAAGAATTGTCTGTTGAACTGGACAATGAGAGTTTGATTTAACATAGGCCTGCTAGGAGCAGCGAGAAGAGCCAGTAAAACTTGGAAATATCTGCTTTTAAAAAAAAAACAAAAGAATTGCGGATGCTGGAAATCTGAAACAAAAACAGAAATTGCTGGAAAAGCTCAGCAGGTCTGTGGAGGGAGATCAGAATTAACGTTTCAGGACCAGACCCTTCCTCAGCACTGTTGGTCGGTATGAAAATGTTGGTTTAATGCAGAAGATAGGGTAGGGGAGGGGGTAAGGAGTAAATTATAGTTGGAGATAGAGCCTATAGAGAGAGAAGAACAGTTGGACAAAGGAGTGGATAACAATCAGCCTTGGAGAATAGTTACTAATGGGGACTATTAGTGGCCAACAGTGGGTGGTGTAGAATAGCAGGTCATGTCATAACAAGACCTGGTGTTTTTGAGGGGATAGGGTCAGGGATGGGGGTTGTTGGATTAAGGACATGGGAGAAATATCTGCTACTGGTGCAAATTGGTCTTGGTTATCTTAAAACACGCTCTGGTTTGAACCACCACTAGTCATTTCCAACTGTTAGTTTCTGCTTTTGAGGGGTGCCCATGAGCTCTGTCTCCCATTCAGTAAGATCAAGGTTGACTTACCACAGCACCATTTTCTCACATGCTCCCAAAAATGCTATTTTTCCATATCCAAAGATGACTTTGTTTTTATCTATAAGTCTATCTTTCTGTCTCGAATGTACTCAAAATCTGAGCCTCCAAGCCCTCTCAGATTAGAGAATTCCAGAGATTCACTATCCTCAGTAAGGAAATTACTTCTGTCCATCCAAAATGGCCTATTCCTTATGCTAAGACTGTGCCCCCAGGTTCTAGACAGCCCAAGGGAAATATTGTGCGTTTGTTGTCAGGCCCTGTAGGAATTGTGTAGGTTTCCAAGAGTGTCCTCAGCTTTCTTAATAAGAGGCATAGAGTACGAGAGAAAGGAGGCAAAGTTGAATTGGTATAAGACACCGTTAAATGTAGGACCATGGGACATGCATTCAAACAGATCTTGGCTGCAGATACATGGTTCCTTAAGTGGTGTACCAGAGGATGTGAAGGTGTGTGGCACGCTTGCCTTCATGTGTCAGAACATTGAGTACAGGAGTTGGGGTGTCATGTTATGGCTGTACAGGATGCATTTGGAGTGCTGACCACCATTCTGTTTGGCCTGCTTTGGAAGGATGTTATTAAACTGAAAAGGGTTCAAAAAACGATTTACAAGGATGTTACTGAAACTGGAAGGCTTGAGTTATAAGGAGAGGCTGGATAGGCTGAAACTTTTTTTTCCCCCCCCTGTAGCTTCGGAGGCTGAGGGGTGATCTTTTTTATAGAGGTTTATAAAATCCTGAGGGGAATGAGAGGTCAGCTGAGAATCTCAATTGCTATGGCATGTGAGGAGGTAATTTAGCCCATTGCACTTACACTGGTTCCATTACACAGTGCCAATCTCCTCTTTCCCACCCATATACCCCTGCACACAATTTCTACCCAAATAACCATCCAGTACCCTCTTGAATGTCTCAGCTGAACCTGCCTCCACCACATAAGATAAATAGCAAAGGTCTTTTCCCCAGGTTAGAGGAATCCCAAACTAGACAGCATACGTTTAAAGTGAGAGGAGAAAGATTCAAAAGGGAGCTAATGGATAACTTTTTCTCTCTACAGGTGGTGTGAATATGGAACAAGCTGCCAGAGGCAATGGTAGAGGCAGGTACAAATACAATGAAAGACTTTTGGACAGATAGTTGGATAGGAAAGGTTTAGAGGGATATGGACCAAATGCAGGCGAATGGGATGAGCTCAGTTTAGGAAACCTGGTTGGCATAGGCAAGTTGGGCTGAAGGGCCTGTTCCCGTGCAGAGGGCATAGATTTAAAGTGATGTGCAAAAAAAAAAGCAAGGGTGCTACGCGAAGAAACTTTTTCATTCGGTGAGTAGGGTCTGGAATGCACTGCCTGGTAATGTGGTGGAGGCATTCAAGAGGGTACTAGTTGACTATTTGGATAGAAATGGTTCTGTAGGCATATGAGGTGGCAGAGGGGAAAGAAGGAGATTGACACTGGGTAATGGAACTTGTGCAGGTATGTTGGGCTGAATGGCCTCCTTACATGGTATAGCAATTGACATTCTCAGCTGACCTCATTCCTCTCCAGTCTAGAGTACAAACCCGCTCTCCTCACTGTACAGTCCAGCCACGCTAATGCACTTTGTGAGTTATTTCTAGTTGGTATTAATACAGTTCCACAGAACCCAATACTAGCATTCTTAAAATACTGTAATTGTGGGTCAGGAGCTTTCATTGATATAGCAGCATGAGTGAATGCCCCATTGTACCTCTTAAGAGTGTGATGTGATATTGAGCAACGTAAAGAGATATTGGGGGAATAGCCAGATGTTTGATCAGGTAGGTTTTTAAGATTCTAAAAACAAAATACTGCAGATGCTAGAAATCTGAAAAGAATACAGACTGAGTTTCTCCAGCATTTTTGATGTAGGAATTAAAGATTGCCTTAGAGGAAGGAGAGGGGTTTAGGTTTAGGGGATCTCGAGTGGACGTTTGAGGCAGACACAGGCATGGCACCCAAAAATGTCATTGAATGTGGAATAGGTGAGAGGCCAGAATTAGAGGATGTAGATAAGGGTTGTGGGACTGGAGGCGATGATCGCTATTTTAAAATGATTGTCCTGGTTTCCATGTCCCTGCATGAGATAGGGAAGGACAGAGTCATGAGGGACTTGAAAACTAGGATGAGAGTTTTAAAATCGAGGTGTTTCCTAACCAGGAACCTCTGTAGGTCAGTGAGCTCAGGATGTGGGTGTTCACTTATGTTGGCATTTCCCTCTTTTTCCATTGTCTCCTCAGTATTCCAGGATGTTGCTTCTTTATCTGCATATGTACAGGATGGCCTGGTTTTGGCCTTTCAGTGTTCGTCTTAGTGCCGTTCAAAATTGTGAAAGCCTATTCACTCTGTGCATAAGATAATCTGGGTGGCTTAAAGCTGTTGTGTGAATTGTAGATGTCACTGAATGGAGAATTGTGAACAGTTTCCAAACTGGGAATGTGTGCTGGGTTCTGCCATATGGCGGGACCCAGAGGGGAGGGCCAAGTCAGGGACCTACAGTGTGTACCATGTGAACAAGTTTGTCAACGTTTCAGCACTGTTCCTGTACCTGTACGAGCTGTATGCTGCCTGACAATCTCCTATTTTCCTCATTCCTATTCTGACCAAGAAAGTCCTTCAAAACAGGTTTGGATTTAAACAGCATCCTATGTAAATTGATGACGAGCGGACACCATCGCCCAGTTTGCCAAGTATATTCATTGTACATGCATTAAGTTATTCTTTTAAAATCCTTATGTTGTGGACATGGAGTATGTGTTCTATAAATCACAGAGGTCTACAGCTGTCAAAATTTTCAAATCCCATTTCCTAACTCTTGGCCCATAGCCTTGCATGCCTTGGCATCACAAACTAACGGCTAAATGCATATTAAACATTATAAGGGTTTTTGCCTCTTGCAACCAGGGAGTTCTAGATTCCCAACACGCTCACAAGTGGGGGAAAAGAATTCCTTCCATCTCTTCTAAACCTCCTGCCTCTTACCTTAAACCTCTGCCAGTGGTCATGAGGGGTCAAAGTTTTATCTACCCTTTGTATGCACTTTATAATTTAATACATATCAATCATATCCACTCTTGGTCTCCTCTGCTCCAATGAAAACCACCCTAAGTCTGTCCAATCTCTCTTTGTAGCAAACCCTCCAGTCCAGGCAATATCCTGGTAAATCTCATCTGCATCCTCTTCAACACAAACACACCCCTCCTATAGTTGAACACCTTGGATCGTGGTTTACCTGAACCACATTAGAATAAAGTAGAGATAGTAGGAACTGCAGATGCTGGAGAATCCGAGACAACAAGGTGCAGGGCTGGATGAACACAGCAGGCCAAGCAGCATCATAGGAGCAGAAAGGCTGACGTTTCGGGCCTAGACCCTTCATCAGAAAAGGGGGAGGGGAAGGGGGTTCTGAAATAAGTAGGGAGAGACTGGGAAGCGGATAGAAGATGGATAGAGGAGAGGGTAGGTGGAGAGGAAACAAACAGGTCGAAGAGGCGGGGATGGGGCCAGTAAAGGTGAGTGTAGGTGGGGAGTTAGGAAGGGGATAGGTCAGTCCAGGGAGGACGGACAGGTCAAGGGGGTGGAATGAGGTTGGTCGGTAGGGGATGGAGGTGCGGCTTGAGGTGGGAGGAGGGGATAGGTGGGAGGAAGAACAGGTTAGGGAGGCAGGGACGAGCTGGACTGGTTTTGGGATGCGGTGGGGGAGGGGAGATTTTGAAACTCGCTCGGTTCGCAAGCTTTGCAGAACACCTACGCTCGGTTCGCAAGCTTTGCAGAACACCTACGCTCGGTTCGCAATAAACAACTGCACCTCCCAGTCGCGAACCATTTCAACTCCCCCTCCTATTCCTCTGACGACATGTCCATCCTGGGCCTCCTGCAGTGCCACAACGATGCCACCCGAAGGTTGCAGGAACAGCAACTCATATTCCGCTTGGGAACCCTGCAGCCCAATGGTATCAATGTGGATTTCACAAGTTTCAAAATCTCCCCTCCCCCTACCGCATCCCAAAACCAGTCCAGCTCGTCCCTGCCTCCCTAACCTGTTCTTCCTCCCACCTATCCCCTCCTCCCACCTCAAGCCGCACCTCCATCCCCTACCGACCAACCTCATCCCACCCCCTTG